CCCGAAAGGTATTGTGGGTCGGTTTTGAGTTCACTGTTCTTCAAAGAAATTTGAAAGAAGGGTACGAGAGGCTATGGACTATGTTTCCGAGTGCTAAAGCGAAGCAGCAAAAATAGGTTCGACAGCTACAGTGTCAGAAACAGTGTATTGATCATATCCCATATTACCTTTCGGGATTGTCGCGTGCACTTTTTTCCGACAACCTTTCTCGAAATAGCTGTATGTGTTATGCCATCTCATTCATGTCCTATGATGTAAGCGACTTGGAAAGGTTTCCCAATTTCACCGAAAGTAATGCTGTTTTTTTTTATCCCGAGTACGAAATTTCGTTTTTTGACTTTTCTCGCGCATAAAATTTTGCTTTAAGCCTCGGAGAACTTTGTTAGGTTCGTTTCTTTGACTGGATGTAAGCAGTGACAAATAACGAAAGCTTGCCTGTCCCTCTTCCCGCCATCGTAGAGATCCCGCTTCCCGCCCTTTCTTCTCTTGTCTCCCTTACCCCTCCCGCCCCCCTGTCCCAACCACTTTTCATGCGAAGTTTTCGTGGCTGTCAGCTCTCGTGTCATCTTAAACTCCCTAAAATTTACGAAGGCGTGATCGATGCGAGCGTGAATATCTGTTGTAAGCTCAAGCTTATATTTTTGGAAAAGCGTCTCTAGTTATCGGGTAGACAGTATTTTGAAATGGAGAGTTTATATCAAACTGAAAGTTTCCTGACTGCGTGCATTTCTTTGGTGCATGAGCCAGACAAGCCCTAGACTGCTGGCATCACGCCTTTTCTCTTGAAATCCGCCAGTTCTTATCTCATCCAGCGCGATTGCAAACCACGATGTTATGATTTAGGGATTGAGACGAGACAAGAAAAGTCGGACTGCTGACTCTTTTGTAGTAAACAAACCCTCCGTCAGACCAGAAACGGAGTAACCGATTGGTCAATTGCACAGCTGTTGACAGATCATTGACTGGTCCGTGGTGAGATTGCAAGCAATAAAAATAGTGTGATAAACAATGAACATTCAATCAAAGAGAACTTGATTACGTAATTAAACTTAGTTTTGTTTTGATTTAGATAAGATACGTTTCTGTTCTGTTTCATTTATCGAGTTTTTACGCCCCTATTTTCGTGTACTATTGTTCACAGTTTGAATCAATTACGTAGCTGGCCATTCCTGTTTTTAAACCGGTTTTACAACTGTACACGTGAATTGTACCCTTTTCAGAGAACGCCCCTTAAGTTTTTGTGGAGTTGGAGTTTGGAGATCTACGGAGCAATATAGGGGTTTTCAGAGCAGTTTTATCTTTTTCGGAGTTACGTAACGTTGGAGTTTCTTTAGCCCTTTAGACAGGATCAGACGTAAGTTTCAGCTTATTGTATTTAGTTTTCGTTTTCCTCTCCATTTTGCTTCTTTTGTAATTAGTCTTAGCCCCTTTTTTGATCTTGTACATTGTAATTTCCCCTTTTAGTTTTCACCGCATGTGTACAATAATTCAGACGAGTTGGTGTTCAAATTAAATGCTATTGAGTCAACTTGTGCTGTTGAATTCTATACTGTGGTTGACACTTCCCGATCTCCAGTGCACAACATCCCGTGTCCGCTGCACTAGGTACGCGACAATTAGTCACGAGTCACAACCAACTGCAAACAATAGCGAACCAAGCAGTAATCTTACGCCCTCGTTTCTCGCGACAAGCAGCCTCGCCGCTTGCGTGCTTAGGTTTCGCTTGCAGTAACTTTGCAAAGAAAAATAAGAGACTGCTCGCAGTCTAGACAAGCCGTGATCGAGTCAATAGCCGTCGTGAACGAACTCGCGAAAAAAACTCAGGAGATGTTGTTCGCCGATTGGGCACAATAATACAAAGCATTTTTGTGCCCAATCAGGAGCTAGCATTCGCTTGACCGTCTGGAAATGGTCCGGTGAGAGTCGGTACCCAGGGGCTTTTCCGCCTGTGCTTGAAAACTTAGGTCGCGCCTTTTCTTCCGGCCCGACTGACCGCCCCTGGGTGTCCGTGGATGGAACTGGGAAGGAAAGCAGAGAAAGCAAAACTTTATTTCTACAGTATTTCGCGAATTTAGCGGTTCTAGCCTGTTCCAGACGTTCATACTCCATGGAGAAGTAAGAATTTTTTTTTTCACTTTACTTGAGTTTGACGGGCTTATGAACAGTTACGATAATAGACACCGAGATATTTCGAGCAACAACAATTTTCTGTCTGTTCCCTTTGAACTAATGTCCTATTTCCATTTCTTTAGTATTTTGTTATAATAAAGTCGTATTTTCTTTTATTTAAATAACGGTAACATGACCCACTTAATACGTACACTTTCTGTGTGTTTTTTTTATAGTGTCCGTATTAACAAGGTTTCACTGTATTATGTAGGAAAAAGAACCACTCACAATGGGGTGCTTACTTTACTGATTTATTGAAAAATTTTAAACCATTACAAAATTACACTAAATTACACTGGGTCCTGTCCGTACCTGCCTGAGATAGGCTTTCTTTCGACCAGCTAGAATTAAAACTATGTACAAGAATTGCTTCTTGAGTAGTATAATAAATAGCTTCATAAATCCTAGAGTGAAGACATAAAACGCCAGAAATACCTCACTATACCCAATGTTTTAATGTTACCGACTACTTTCACATTGATGTAGCAATAAGATTAAGCGTAAACTGTATAAAAGAATCAGCTTCAAGTGCACAAAATGGTCTGTGGTTAAATAACCAGAGGTTATTATAGGTTGTTACTGAAGTTAAACTCCAATTAAATTTATTATCTAAATATAAACAACTTTCTAAGATATTGAGCCTTCTGAGAAACAATATGTACATTCAAACTACTACAACCACCACCACAACAACAACAAATAAATCTACCCGTTGTCGGACTGTTCCAGCAATCCAATACAAAGTCCAGACTAATTCTTACGACCCATACCTAGAAATACAGAACCTATCGGGAGCCTGGTACGAGTGACGGATTGTGGGAAGCGGGAGAGCACGCATGACATTAGTGGACACTGCTCAGTCTGATGTAAATATGCTCAGTAGAACTAGTAATCCCCTACTGTGTGGAGGAACCTTCCTCAAGATAAACCCCGCCTCACCCCTACTTGATTCCCAATAGGCCATTTGCGTGATGACGTCATTTTACTGCTACAACCAGAATCCTTCACGGTTTAGCTGTCTTAGCTAATTAGGGCTTTTGTTATGTAAAAGTCACTGGGATTACCAAATTTAACTATGAAAGGAAAAACGTTATAAATGCTATACCGTAAAATTCCGAAAATAAGCCCCGGGGCTTATATTTTTCAAAGGCCCTTTTTGGGGGGCTTATTTTTAGAGGGGCTTATATTCGGAGGGGCTTGTGTACGGAGGGAATTTTGCGCTTCAAAATCGATTGGGCTAGCCTTATAGTTGGAAGGAAATTTTCCGTTTTTGCTTTGCTTGACTTTGTATTTGAGGGCAATTTCCAAATACAAGCCCCCGGGGGGCTTATATTTGGAGGGGCGATTTAACGGAGGGTTTTTTTGCGTTACGAGTTTAGGGGGCTTTAATTTTTGGAGGGGCTTATACATGGAGGGGCTTATTTTCGGAATTTTACGGTATTTAAATACCAAATTCCCCCTTCGACCAAAAAAGAAAGAAGGACACTAAAAATAAGAAGTTTCAGACAACTGTAGTGGTCCATCTCTAAACTGCAGGACTTAGCGAGCTATTCACGCTGTAAATCTCTGACTTTCAAAGGTCATACACTGGGTTAACATTTATCTAAATATTCAACGGAAGTGAAGTTTCAGAAGTTTTGATTCAACAGTGAAAAAAAAAAAACAAACAAAAAAAACCAAATATTACCCCAATGCAGGCCCATTGTAATTCTAAGGCCCCACTGCAACCATAAATAGATTTCTTACAAATCTACCCACATTCATCGGTTTTTCGTGATCATCGTTGCTAATTTTCACCATGGCAAGTATAGCTATAACTTGACAAAAAATTTGGATTAGTACAGGTAATAGCATGATTTGTAGTGATATTTGGCATAAAGACCACTAGTGATATTTCGAAACTGTTATACGTAATTTCACGAGCCGTTAGGCGAGTGAAATTTGAGACATTTTTGAAATATCACGAGTGGTATGTATGCCAAATATCACGTACAAATCATGCTATTATTTGTTTATACTACCACCCACAAAGGTTTGTAATTTTCACATGTAGGTATTTCAAATTAAGCTGAAATACCACTGCTCTAAGCCAATCAAATTGCAGAAATTTCTCATGTAGTAGTATAACAAATGGTAATGACCACGTGCCGTGTTTAAAATGGCATTATCCTCAAGTGGATAAGATGTTGCCGCCTGTGAAAAGGCTCTCTATTGGGAGGGAGACATCATTGAGAACCTGTTCATAGGCTAGACAATCTGAAAAAGGCTTACGCAAATTTTCTTTAAAAGAAGCTCCAAAATACGGCGCATAACGGCATTGCGTTTTCGGGTTTTAAGGTTCACGTACTTAAAAACGAAAGTGCTGTTAATACCAGAAATCCTACCATGACTACTCTTCTCAAAACAAGGAAATGTTAAACGCTTTAATAACAGGAAATCGTTGCACGAAACTATTCTTCCTCTGAAGATTTCAAACATTTTCGAAAGCTAACCATCATAATTTGTACTTAGGTGCATTGTTATAGCCTACGAACGCAGAGAGGGAAAACTGAAGGTTGAATTTAAGTGCATTAGTGCAGCTTTCAGTGGAGTCTGGTAAGAGTAACAGACAAAGTAATTGCATTTGTCAAGCAATCACAGAAGGTCGAAAAAACGAAAAACCAATCACCAAATAAGAAGCAAAGGAAAAAAACGCGTGAAGTAAACTACAATAAAAAATACAAAGCGATTGTGAAGTTTGATCAACGCTCCATTGAAAACTGCTCTACCGGCTAGCACAAGTTAAACTTTTTTTAAAACACCGCAGTTTTCAATACAGCATTACTTGAGATTTATGCAACCTCTGGACCAAAGTCCTCGTACAGGGGGTCGTGCATAGATATGTCGTTGTAGTAAGCGGCTCGTAGTCTAGAGCGATGATGGTATTTCTTCCAGTACACTACTACTCCCACAACAATCAGGATAGCAAAAGCAGCAGCAGCACAAATACCGATGATAGCTGCAGTGGAAAGGCGACCTGATAAATGAAGAAAGCATAAGAAAAACCCTTTACTCAAGTGTCCACGTATTGATTGATCCCCTGAACAACAAACTTAAGCTTTTGATTCACAGCCGACACAATCATTACTTTATGTACCTTTCTAGTCTTTTTTTAAACATAATGTACTTTCTTACTCACTGTCGTGGTTGTTGTTTTTCTTTCTTTTTGCTTTTTACGTTTAGTCTTAGTGATGAGATTTACATAATCCTTTGTGAAAAATCGTACTTGTGTGAACATCAATTAAAAAATAATAATAAAACATGAATAAATAAAAAGACCATACACTACAAATCATTTCCATATCTTTCCCGATTCAAACCTTTGGGATTTCAATTCTTTTTAATACAGAGATTTAAAACGCTGAACAACCACTTTCTTTCCAGGCAGGACATACATTGTACTACTAACACAAGAGTAGTATACCCGGCCCTGTGTAGTCTTTTGCCCGAGACTCTTTTCCAAGAACGTGGCCTTGAAACGAGGGAAGAGGAAACGAGAGAGAGGTGCTGATACTCAAATCACTGAGGAGCCTTTGAGGAAAGGATCAGTATCGCAATCACTAATAAAATTAATTTACCTTTCTTGTTGTCACCATCTCCTCCTTTCTGAGGATTATGGGTGCCATGATGTTGGGTACCTGAAGAAGGAAGAAATAGGTAAACAGTTTAAACTATTATGCAAATGGCACTTAACAAAATCAAGAACTTCCCTCAATATGAGGAATCAAAGGAAACATTACAACCTTAGTAAAACAGCTTTTTCTCAAGGTAGGCAAAGAATACAAAGGTCAGGGTATGGGCGAGTCGGTGTAACCACGGCAACATTTTTCTTTCTAATTTTTTGATTTAGTATCAAGGGGTTGGCATTCCAGATGCGAAAGAACTTCTACTTTAGTTCCTGTTAGTAAGAATTATTTTCATAAAACTCCGCTTTTTGCTGTTGTTTTTCACCACCCTCATAACTTTTCTGAAAGATATGACTCAGGCATTAATATCTGCACCCAAGAATAGATGGAAAGCCTCAAGAGGAAGGAACATCGAAACTTCAAGAGTTTTCAAGGGTGAAATTTAAGAGGTTGACATAGTTCATTCCCTGGCAGGAGGTAAGGTGCATCCATTGGATCAGTGATGTATTTGATTTAAATATATCTAGTTTGAAACCGCTGATTATGTCGGGATTTTGCCAGGCTATTAGCATGTTTAAACTCCATTTACTGGTGACTGTTAGGTATTAGCTGTCAAAGAAGCTAGTTAGTTTTCAACGAGCCGTTCATTCAGTTCGGGGAGTTCACAAATCAAAGCCAATGACAACAGAAACTATCAGGATATAAAGCAAACGCTAACAAACCTTTAGAGTTGCTTGCCCGAAGAGAGAACTTTGGAGCGGAATGGCCTGGAAACATCAAAAAAATGTTGAATCTGCCATGATTACAGTTTTCAGACAGAAAAAATACTGCATGTTGATGGTGTCTTGTAGCAGATTTTTGGTTAGCTTTTATTTACTGAGATTTGCCACTATTAATTTAGTTTATGTAAATCAAAACGGTTACAGGCAGCAAATCCGCCATGATATAGTGGAGTAGAAGGTTGGTTACGGACTTAACGTCCTGGACCGATTTACATTTTTCTGCCGTGTTAAAAACTGAAAGAACTGAGTCTTTCATGAAGATTTGTAGAGAAGAAAATTATAGAGAAGATGTAAGGTTACACTGCGAGCAGTCTCTCTTTTTCTTCAGATTTAGTACGGCGAAACGCGCGCGTGTCTCGGGAGTTTTGCTCGACGGACCAAGAGAAAAGAGAGACTGCTCGTAGTCTAATGTAAGGTGTGAGTGAGAGGGAAAGGTGGTTTTTGCTGGATAGAATCTAATGCTGAGCTGACGCCATAAGAGTGAAAACTACACGCCAATTGAATTTCCTTTTTTAAATAGTTTTATTAATTTGTAATTATTGTGAGCAACAAGAGGATGCCGCAATCTTAATCTCCAGGTTGCTATTACGCATGCACGACATGCACACAGCCAGTTTCGTTTAGACTTCCACTAGGAATGAATGGAAAGCATGTAATCTGATCACGCGCGTTTTGACCATCTATCACATGAAACTTACAGAAAACACACCACAGCGTTGAGGCAGAAGCGTTTTAACTTTTGATCGTTGTCGCTTACAGTCCGTAACCTTCAGTTATTACTAGTTATTATTATGTAATTTCGTTTTAATTTTCCAGTGTTCCAGTATGTTCTGTGGTTATACGCTGTTCTGCTCTTCCTGGTTTTAGTGCAGCAAGAAAACAACATGGAAAACATAGGCACGTTAAATGTGCATGAGCTATTTTGAATGCTTCAGTGTAACCTTACCAGGAGTGATGAATCTACCTTTTTCATCTTAAATGTAGACTGGGTTTTTGTGCGAAATTGGGTATTTCCGTACATAAATGAAAACGCGAAACGCTCAGCTGCGTCGATCCTCATGCTATATATTCACTTTCCTCTGTCTTTCCCTGTTACATTTGGTGCAAGTTAAACAAATTGTTAAAGTAAAATAAATATCTACTCACCAAACGTTGATTAGAAGGAAAACTCTAAGGTTTCCTCGGAGTTTCTTAAGCCAAAATGTGACTTATCGAATTCGAGTAGTTAAGAAATACCAGGATTTTTATCATTGTGGTAGATAAGTGCATCATCACAATTCACGAGGTTTTCACGTGCGATCCTACTCAGTGAAACATCTTTGACTCCGACAACTTATTTCTTCATGTTTTAAAAGCTATTGCTTCTTAAAAGACAAGAGCCTTTTTTAAATCATTGGTTACAAAACGTAACAGGTCTTCATACGTTCAAGTTACCATTATTATTGTGAAAAGCCAATCTGCTTGAGATGTACAGTCACACAACTGGCACGTGAAAGTGTTGGACTTTGCCCCCTTTCGTTGTTGGTACGTGAGGGAATTCGAGTTATCGCACAGTAATCTAGTAAACAGAATTATAAATATAACTCATGCACACAATTTGCACGTGAAGATGTTGGTCTTTGGCCCTTTTACAATTCGTACGTTAAAAAAAAGCAAACTGTTTACTACAAAATTTTCTCAAACGACTTTAAGAAATCACCTCGGCTTATTACAACATCTGCAATTAAATTATGTTTCATGCAACGTCAAGGTTGATAGCCTTACATTTATTAACTTCCAAGAACATTATGAAACTGCCGAAATATATTTCTGCTCATATCATGCTACTCCACTCAGTAAAACAGTATCTAATTATTGTGTCAACTAGCTTCTTCCAATTTTATTCCCTAACGCTACTGTTTCTACTTAAGTTACGCATCTTTACTAAATAAAATACGTTTCAATAACTATAATGCTTAGTATGCAGGAAGGATGTATCATGTGGTTCACTTATTATTCTTTTTGTTTTGTTTTGCCAGAACAAAAAAGGTTTGTTGAACTTTGTAAGCGAGAGAATAATATTTCTAAAGCTTGTTTACAGGATTAACAATACTCGGTACAGCTTTCAAAAAATAAGCTGCCTTTCACACTTGTAAAACCACATTTTATAGGCCGCATACTTTCGAATTAAAGTCCATTTCTAAATATCAATTATTGCTTCACTGCAAAAGCTTTGAAAATATACGATCTTTTATACTCTACCTTGAAGCAGGTGAAACACAACTCATAAATACGTGCGTCAGTACCGTTAGCAATAGCCGAATTCGGTCAGAAATGTCTTGAAGTAGCATCCACACTAAAATATGAACCCTTAAACAGTTGCATCAGTGTACACAGCATTTAAATCATTACGATATTTAATATCATGTTTCCAAACACCTGTAGCCGTAATAAAAGACGAAAAAATTATGAAGAATCAAGATGGCGGTCTCAAAGTGCCCTTGTTCGACCTTTAGCAATGTCATGTTTAAGTAGATGCCAAGATCTCATTGGTTCCGAAGCATCAACTCATACTACCTTCAACCCCTTGCAAAAAACATCCGAACATACAAAGATACAAAGATACATACGCTCACACCACTGACATATGAGCTATTTTTTCGAAATAGCTCAAAAATTGAGTTCAGTGTGTAAAACTGATTTCAAGGATCGACATCAAAGGTGGCAACAGACATGAGAAACTTATCAGCAAACAAAGCAAACCCTAATAAACCTTTGGAGCTCTTTGTCCAAGGAGAGGGCGTTGTAGTGGAATGGCCTAGGAACATCATGATTTATCATTATGATGTTTTTGCTTGGAGTTTTACAAAATTACGAAACTCCGAGGCTCTTATCTTCTTTTCTTTGTACTTGGTTTACTTTGCAAAAACCGTGAACCAGCTGAGAAGCGTCTGAGAACTGTAATCATGCAGATTTATGGCATTTTTTGATGTTCCTAGGCCATTCCACTACAACGCCCTCTCCTTGGACAAAGAGCTCCAAAGGTTTTTTAGCGTTTGCTTTGTTTGCTGATACGTTTCTCATGTCTGTTGCCACCTTTGATGTCCATCCTTGAAATCAGTTTTACACACTGAACTCAATTTTTCCACGTTATTTTCTGGCGACACTAAAACCAGGAAGAGCAGAACAGCGTAACCCCATAGCATACTGGAACACTGGAAAATTAAAACAAAATTACATAATAATAACTAGTAATAACCGAAGGTTACGGATCAGGGGCGGATCTAGGAGGAGGGTGCAGGGGGTGCGCACCCCCCCCCCCCCCCCC